CCTTTGGCTAATACTCTCTTTTCAGGTTCAGTGAGATTCCTGTCTGAAAAGTTCTTAACCCATTTCTGGGAACCTTCACAGACAATAAAGGTCATTCAAAAACCATCAGTTCTGGCTTTCTCAGTTCGACTGGATGCTACATCCAGTATGTTTTGTGTGAGAAACAAGCTGTACCTCTTCATAATATCATAGTATTATTTTTATCAGTACATAAAAGACTAAGCTGAATATTTATGGCTCATGTTTTTGGTGATTTCTGCCTATTTGATGATTGCTGACCAGGGGCCTCAACCTCCAGTCCTCGAGGGCCACCTCAGCATGCGGTCACGTTCGATACTCGTGCTAATGACCTACTAATTGTATTCAGGTGTGTTGCAGCAGGACAGCAGCCCTCGAGGACTCCTGCTGCAGACTGTAGGTGCGATGTCACTGAGATCATCTGCGTTCCTCAAATGCAGCGTTCTTCCCGTCATCGTAGCGAAGAAGAGGAAGGACAGTGTGACTGAGAGCAGGTGGATGCTCACCTGTGGACACAAAGCTGTCCAGCTGCTTTGTCGGCTCCACGTTCACATCTGTCAGAGACCAAACAGTCAGCAGGGAGTGTGAGCTAAAGCTGCAGAGCTTCAGTGAAGCAGGTTTCATTAGAGCACTTTACAACACCACGGGCTGAGTTACACCCACAGGGGAGAAATAAACAGCAACACAGACGGCCATAAACAGGCCGGTGATCCGAGTTTCTGCTTGTAATGATGTGGACTCACTGACGACTGAATGTAGTTGAAATCTGTTTGCTTTTAACTAATTGGAAACAAATTTCCAATAAAGTCAGAGAAGCAGTGGTGCTGAGTTCTGCCAGGACGGTCTATCAGCAAATAAATTCACATTTTATTAGAAATATGACAGATTTCTGTTTTAAAAGGTCTGCAGTGATGTCCTGGGGCAGGGCGTCGTGCTGCACTCGCTGCCTTTCACACTGTGGGCCGAACATGTTACTTAACCTCCTCAGACCTGAACTCTTTCATGGCTTTCGTTTTTAATTTCTCTTTCCTATTTGGGCTGATTGGGACCTGATGACAGTAAAAACAAAGAATTACTTGATTTTTGTTTTTTTTTACAAAAATGAGATCCACATATGAGGACAGTAGTTTTAAATTTCAATAGAACAGCAGCAGTGCAATGTCCTCGTAAGTGCACATCAGGCCCTTTGTAGAGCAAAATGTAGTTTTTTGGTCTCGACAGCCCAAAATGTGACGTCCACTGTTAAGAAGAGATTACCTGAAGTGCCTCGATGCTGTGCTTTATATTAATAAGTGTATGTAAAGCGCTTTGGGTCCTTAGGGACTGAGTAAAGTGCTATACAAATGCAGGCCATTTACCATTTTACCCAACATGCCCACACACCGCCAGCGTCATCAGTCATCTGTTTCCACCCCCCTCTCACACTGACCACTAGTATTCTCCTCATGCCATCAGGGAGCGTTTGATTGGTTGTCGCTTACCAGCCAATCTGGTGCAGTGGAAGAGGCC